TGGGGGATGCAGGAGAGCAGCCTTGGGAGTCATTCGGAGATGGGCGAAATTATACAGGAGAAGCAAATTTGGGCAGTGCTGCAAAGAAAATAGTTGCCAGAGGGGTAAGGATGCAAATCTTAAATACAGGTGAGGAGGCAAGAAAAGAATGAACTTTTTATGGAAACATGGATCCTTTAGAAGACTGTGGAAATATGTAGGAGAACAGGGTTTCTGCCTGTGAGAGTAGGACCAAAATGGGCAGTAAATGTTTGTGCTTCATGTGCAACTTTTGCTCTTTTATCCTTCATCAGTTTTCAGGATGCCTGCAGTGCCCCAGCAAGTCATTTGCTTTCCTTGTAAAATTTTAACCATCTTTTCATTTGTTCTGCTGTACTCCTTTAAAACTGAGTTTTAAAACTGAGTTGTTTGTTACAGGTATTTGACAGTTATGCTTTGAAATGTTGCAATTGCCTGAAAAAAACAATAGCGAAGAGTCAAATAGGGGGCACTTTGCTTCTCTTTTAAGTAATGTGGAAGGATTCTGTGACTTGTCTGCTGTACTGTGAGGTATTTTGCCCCCAAGGACTTCTCATCTGTGAGGAAATGGCAACACAGCCAGATTAGTTCCTAGCAGAGGAAATCTTCAGTCACTGCATGTTTGATGTGTGGGTGAGATATTCTGCCTTTTAAAGGTGTCTGAATCCAAGGAAGATGAGAGATAATGGGCTTAGAGTTTTAATGCTGAAGATACACAAATCAGACTCAACAAAGATTTATCATGGATCAAATGTGGTATTATATACAGTAAATGTTCCACCGAAATATTAAAATTTTAAATGGTTTTAACCACGCATTTTTACCAGGGAGTACAGTTCACCAGTACATGTATTCTGACAGTCTTGTTAAATGACACAATATTAAAGTCACGTTAGAGCATTTCCAGCACATGAAAGATTGACAAAACTTCTACTTTGCTTTTGTGCTGGAAAGGAGTTCAGTTTTGCAATGATTAGGGTGGAGAAAAGCGGAGTGTAATTTCTGCCTCCCAGAGCTCACCAGCTGCATGCTATTTACTCAGGAGAGGTGTTGCTGAATTAGGAAAGAATGTATAGTCATGGCAGTAGTTCAAAATATAAGAGTCTCCAGGTACAGAACAACAACAGCATTGTGTCCATAAAGATTACTTTTTCTGATAGTAGGATGTATAAAATATAATACGTAGCTGGAGGACTGGGATTGTGAAGGTAATAAAAGAACAATTTCCAGTAATTATGGTGATAATTGAAAATATTACTTCTTTAAATCATAAGAGCCAGTCTAGAAATATTTTTCAATCTGGCCTCATTGCCTACAATTTCAAATAGATATTGAAGTCAGAAAGTAATGGTGGGCGTTTATTTCTGCCTTAAATCAGCAGAGACCATCCTGCCCTTTGCTCCAGGGCAACAGTAGTTGCAGCTCTGACTTCACTATTTTAATTTCAATATTATTGCTTACGATTATGGGCCTCTTTACTCAAAGAAAGTCATATTGACTGTTGAAGGCACATCATACTTATCCACCTGTTTGCAAACTCTCCTTTATTTTACTTTCTGTTGGCTTGGTTAGTCTAGAGGACATGGTGTGTAGCTCCTCAGCTGTTATCAGGGAGAGCCTTGGCATATTTAGCAAACATACCTTCCAAATTTGTGTAAACTCTGTGAATTAAGTACTGTGTTAGCAATAATATAGCCAAAACAAGTACTGCAATTTTAAGCACAATAAAAGGAACTCTCTCACTCAACGTATTTGATATATACGTGCATGGCCAGTACTTGATTTCATAGTCTTTCTAACTGGTGTGGTCTTACCAGTTATTCTCTAAGTTCAAAGAAAGCCAGGGTAATGCTAAATAGGAAAACATGCAGAAAATAATACAAAACTGCAAGCTTTCTTTTTTTCCTGTGCCACGATGAGAAGAAGGGAGCGCATCCTCCCCTTCTCTCTGCCGCTTGTGCTCACTCGGGCCGGGTTTGCCCAAGGTGGGAGCTGGCGGGAGGTCGGCGCCGCGACGCAGGCAGGGCTTGCACAGGGACAGGCTGCCCCCAAGCAGACGAGGAATCCTGCTCCGTTGTCCGCTAAAAATACTGGGCTCTGAGTACCAAATCATACACAGGTTCGTGGAGCAGTTATAAGCCAAAGATCTAGTTACGGTGAGTAGTACGGTTAGTTAGTGCTTTATGCATTCACAGCAAGTTACAAATGAGACATGACTAAGCCAAAAAGTTTTAATAAGGCATACAAATATGCCAGTGTGATCTTGCAAGTGAAAATTGTCATACAATTTGTGATGGTTCTCTCTTCATGACATGACAACTTAGTCAGTCTCGCATAAAATCTTCAGTTCCCAGCAAAAAGTAATTGTGTAACAGAGAATTACTTGCATTTTTTTTTAAAGTATAAAAACCCAGTTTTACAATCCCTTTGAGGGGAAAAGAAACAGAGTGCTGTTCCCAAAATAGCTGGTCCATCTTTGATCCTTTCCCGACAAAAGACTTTGTTGGAGGCTTGGGGTAGACAGGGATACGTGATGATTCCTTTAAGCATTTGTGTGAAGGTGAGGAAGCTTGAAGGCTTGCGCAGCGTTCGGGTTTGTGGCGGGTGTTCTGCTTGGTTTGAGCTCATTAAGGTAATTCATCGTGTGCAGTTTGGGTGCCTTGGGGTGAATTCCTAGCACAGCAGCACTTCCGTTTATGATGTTATGTATGAGGTTAATTTGCCCTATTTGTTTTCTAATCTTTTTCATTGTCCTATGAAATGTATGCCCTATGCTCTCCTGGTTTCACTGATGATGATTCTTATCTGATGTTCTGACTTACCCTAGTCAGAGAGAGATTAACACCCTCCTTTATTAATTATTGTGTCATTATTATGTGTTCCTGACTCCTAAATCCTTTCAAAGGAAAATTAAATATTGTTTTGTGACTTCACTGGTCCACATGCCTAGGTTTGGATGTTAGCCTTTTGTCCAGAGTAAGCTAGTGCTTACCTGTCACTCATGCTAAAATAGTTCTATAAACGCTGTTGTGGTAAAGTGACGTGTCCTCCGAAGACTGTGCAGTTAAAAATTTTCGTCAGTTCTTGGCATGCATTTCTAATGATTCTGAGATAATTGTACAAATTTTCGTGTAGTAGTAGCTTTATAATTAACTGTCAGAAGGTATCATTAGATCATCTGTTTGATGCCCTGATCGCTTGGAGAGCGGTGTGTCCATACTTGGCTGCTTCTGTGCTTTACCAAGTAACCTATTATTGGCTGAAGCACAGCATCCGATCGAAATCCACCTCTCCTTTGATGGGTCATTCCACTCGTCAGTCCCTGGTAAAAACGTGTGCCCTGTTCCTCCCTGCATTGGGTGATTACAGCCACCAAGAATTGGTTCCTGCTAGGATTTGCCCCTCTTTAATAAAGGACTTTTTGATACTCTTCTTTTTTTTTATTATTCCATTCGGAGGTATGTGCACACTGCATAATGAAGTCATATCTCAGTTGTCTTCTCAGTAAATTGTTAGATTAGTCTTTTTTTAGGGTCTAGGCACAAAGTGCCTTCATACATTTTTGTTCTTTTGTAGTTTTAAATATCCTTTTTTTAAAAAAAAAAAAGTGGAAATTCTAGCAAAGTCGCTGAAGTTCAGGCTATACAGATATACCTCAGCTTCTTTCACCAGCTGTCCCTTTGCACCATGGTGCAGAGACTGGTACAGAAGAACGTCAGACACTGACAGGGCAAGGAAGGGAGGACTTCTGAAATGCCTTTTCTTTTCCAGCTTTTCTTTTGCCCAAGAAGGAAGAATTATTATGGTGATGCATTCTCTTGTATAAAGCTATCTTATAGCAGTATGAGTTATTACCCTTTCGCCCAGTGGTTAAGCATCCATATGCTTATGTGTAATCAAGGCCATATATTTTTATAGGTGACACTCATGGTGGTTTAACACGCTTGCTGAAGCCAGATAGGCATATTCCCTGCCTTGCCTTTCCAAATGCCTGGGACTTGGAAGTGGAGAGGCTGTGTCTGCTCCATGCCCCTGCATTTAAGCCTGCCAGTTATTCCACCAAGGACCCCAGCACAAACACAAGTGGAATTTAGCCTTACTGATATCAAATTAGCAATAATATTTTGAAAGTATCAGTCTGCAGACCTGATCTCAGGCATTGTACAAGTCCTCATTAGGGAGGACAAATCCCTAATTTGACGACTGGAGCAGAAATTTCTGGCAATCTGCTGCATATTTTGACCATCAATTAACTCACGGAGAAAACTGTGAGTAGATAGTAAAGATACACTCGTCGTATCGCTGACGTGCCTGGGGTGGAATGGGTTTTAGCAGGTGAACAGCACAGAACGGGTTCCCTGCTGTGTCCAAGGCAGCTTCTTTGAACTTTTGGTACTGCTAACTGCGTGACCTGCTTCTCTGATCTAAAATTAGTGTGCGTAGTTTCCAAGTAGCTCCGTTTTTGCACTCCTGCTGCTTGCTTTCCTTATGTAATAAAGGTGATTGTTTCCTCCTGGAGCAAAGAATTTGCAGGGCTTTAAATTATTTTCACATCCATTGATCCAGAGGAGAAGGTCAATGGTTTGTAAGGGGGTTAGGAGCGCAAATTTCCCTGACTTTTCAAAATGGATACATGCACTTCATATTTGCACTATGCTGATGACAGACCACAATTTGATCCTAGTACTTCTTTTTTGTTGGGATATTTTTCCTAGGATGTCTGTGAAAATCCGATGTGGGAGACACAAATACTTGCAAAAAGTGATTTGGCTCTGTAAGGAAGCCTGTGTGAGACGCTGCTTTCAGCAACATCAAAATGGAGCTGCGCATACCAGACTTCCTCATTCATGCTGCCAAAGGAATAATAGGATTACCCTGCTTTGTTTTGCTTCCTCACTCTGGCATTAAATGAACTGAAATATGATGTCTCTGGGAAATAATGTCAATTGCAAAAGAGCTAATTTTCCTTTTATTTTTCTTAGGTGTTCCCAGTAAAGTTCTAGTTTTCCCAGAGAATCATGGCAGAAGGTGGATTTGATCCTTGCGAGTGCATTTGCTCACATGAACATGCGATGAGAAGACTGATCAACCTGGTAAGGACAACATGAGGATATTTGGAAGGGAGCTGGCTTGAACATTATTGCAGCAATAACTGAAATTGCCGTAAATGAAGCTCTGGATTCTGCTTATTCAGTTGCCTGGCAGTTAGATATCTGTGTATCTGACTTTCTAATGAGCTTTTAACTGGTTAGTACAAAACATAGCTTTGTGTTTATTATTTCCCAGAGCTGCATTTTTTTACAGCATTGACAGTGTGTTTTTATTGAAATGCTTCTCTGCAAGCCATTTTCTTAGTCTGTATAAAAGCAAAGAAACCATTCTGCAAACACTGGAGTTCAAGGTGATCCCACACATATCAGAAGTTCCATATATTCATATGGTAAGATAAAAAAGGTCTAAATTTTCAAAATTAAACTTTAAAAAATTCTGAAGTTGAGAATACAGTGATTTTTGAATCCTGACATAAGAAGTAAGATATTCTGTTTCTTGCTACATCATTGATTTGGTTGACCGACTTAGAACAAAAATAATTTATTTTACTTTTCTATAACTGACCTATAAAATAACAATGATCTTTTGCTTTCATGTAGAACTTAAAAATGTAGATGTTTCCTATAGAACTTTAATATCTATTGTAGAAAAAAACTACATAACTGCTAGGTATTTTTTTCTAAGTAAAAGTATATGTATTTTAAAACTACACTAACAATTTTGAACTTGAGCAATTAGGAAAATTGAGTTGCAACTGTAATTTGGCTACTTAAACTATTTTAAGATTACATTTTACATCAGCTTCATTTGGGGTACTCCCCCTTGTTGATTTTTTTTCCCATAAATTTATTTCTATCCCACTTTCTTTCTTAGGACCTTCAGTAATATCCCTTTAGGACAATAAGCACATCAACCACTCAAACCCGTGTGAGCAAAGAGTGTCCTTTCTAGGATCAGGATGTTCTTCAAGGGAATTCTTGAGAGTATTTCAGGAAGGGTGTCATAGCATATGGCATAGCATAGGAAAATGTGTTGTCCTGCAGCCTATGTTAGAAAGCAAGACTAATATGTAAATCTCCAAGAGTATGTGCCTGAAAAGCAGGCATCAACTGATCTGGTTGCCCTTAAAATAAAACAGATTCCACCTGCTTTATGGGCATGGGCATTCCACCTGCTTTATGGGCATCCACCATGTGCTTTATGGGCTCATTTCCCTTGAGGCATCAACTCATCTGGTTGCCCTTAAAATAAAACAGTTTCCACCTGCGTGTATCCATGTGCTTTATGGGCTCATTTCCCTTTGGTAGCTCCCAAGCAGACAGCGCTCCTTTGAGTCTTGCAGATCATTAGAGATGGGCTCACTCCTGTATTTTATCAGTGAATAGGCAACAGACCTGATTTGGAGATAGAGGTACAAGAGGGTGTGCACCTATTTGCTGGTGGTTTTGCAGAATTATTCAGGGAGAAGAGCCTTCAGGAAGTCATCTTGGCCAACCTCCAGCTCAAAGTGGACTCAACATGGCATTTCGTCCAGGTTGTTCTGGGCTTTTATTCCAGCTGAGTCCTGAAAACCTTCAAGGGTAGCTATTTCATAGCCTCTTGGGGCAATCTGCCTCTGTGTTCACCTGTCTTTGTGGTAAAGAATTTCTATTTTTCCAAGTGTTGGAACATCTGTGGTTTTAGTTTATTGTAGCTTAGCCTCCTATCACCATGAAGACCCTGTCTCTGCCTTCTCAGTAACCTCCTTGCAGGTACTGGGGGCTGCTGTTAGGTCCTTGCTGAAGAGAGATAACACGCCTTGCTTCTTGAGTGGTAGCTTAGCTCTTTAATTCCTCATTCTTCCCTGTTGCCCTTGTATGGATGCTCATACTCATTCTTTCCTAAGAGGCTCTTTGCTGTGTCCTCAGCCTGAGGCTTGTGCCAGATGCACGTTTTTGCAAGAAGGCACGAGTGAGAGAGTTCACTTTCTGCTGTGGCTGGAGGATCCTGGGGATGAATGATGCAGGTGAGCTGTGTCTGGAGTCAGAAGATGCAGGGATCTGTGAGATGAGTTTTGTTCCTGGGCTGCTCCGTGCGGTGTAGGATGGTGGGGATGTATGGGGGTTCCTGCAGTGTGAGCGCGAATGGAGCGCGTGAGTGACGCACGCGACCGTAACGCGCCGCGGGGCCGCCGCGCAGAGCCCCACTGCGTCATGTCGTGGCGGCGATGCAGGTCGTTGCTCAGTGCTCAGCTTCCAAAAAGATCATATGAATCAACATTTGAAATGGAGGAATAAGGGTGAATGCCAAATTTTATCCACCCTAAAAGGCAAAACAGATGCTGCTAAATATTTATAAGTGCAATCACTGACTGGGATAGTTCAGCAGAACCTGGAAAAGTAAAGTCTCAGAAATCTCAGTCAGTGGCTAGACTGTCATCGTCAAATGACCTGTCAGGTGATTTTAGCAGGGTACTTGCTAAATCTCCATCACTATATCCGCAACCTCTATGCTTCAGTAAGAGCTTTCTTTCTAAGCTGTTGTTTTTTCACTCAGACATGAATTTTGCTGTTTTAAAAGGAACCCTTGGACATTTGTTTTCATAGCTGCTGAATGGACTCCTGTCCTTAGAGGATGGGTGCTGGTTATTTCTGAGAGCTGGATCCTCAAAGCCTGTTTCTGCCTTTGAAGGCCATGGGGAAACAAGGGGGCTAGAGAGTTTGCAGTTTTTCAGCTTGGCAATTGGGGGAAAATCAAAGCATGAAAAAAAAATCCAAACATGCCATTTTCCCAGAATGGTTCTATATGGCTACCTAATTCTTGATTCTTGTTAGCACAGAGAGGTGTGTTTGTGAGACACAACAGAGTGCATTTGAATCACATTATGGCTGGGAGATCTTGTCACAGTTTTGGAGTGAATATATCATAGAGTTGTTGCAGCTGGCCTCAGACCAAATATTGTAAACACAGAAGATCAGAGTTAAGATAAAATTTAACAGAATAAGCATAATTTTAAAAGATAATTGGAACAGAAATGTATTCTTACAGTACAGAAAAGGTATTGTGTATGTGTTCCATGACTTCTATATACCTGCTTCAGTGGCATTGACTTATCTTTTGCTAAATGTTCTATCATTTTTTTAAGTGGATTTTTCAGATTGGGCCTTGCTCTCAGAATCTGATGATTTTGAGTATTGTAAAATTCTGTAGTATGTACAAACAAGAGAAACCTTAAATCTTTGGTTGTGATTTCATAAATATCATTTCTAGTATGTAATACCCATGGCAGCATCTGTTATGATTTGGAATTGCCACGTAAAAGTTTGACTATTGTGTGCTGGGCTGACTGTTTGCTCTGGGGATAGATCAGATAATTGGAAAATTTCATGGCAGGAAGTAAGCATAAAAGAAAAATATTACAAGATTTTCCATCCTCTGCAGATACGTAAGAGTTGCTAAAAGACAATGACAGATCTGTTGGACGTGTAGGACTCTATCTCTGGTTCAGCCTCCTGCAACTACAAAGCTTATTTTGACAAGAAGAGCCAGAGTTCGCGAATGAAGAACAACAAACAATCTCAAGTGCTTCTATGGAGTTGCTCACTCAGATAAGGAGCCCCTTGTCTGAAAGATTTGTGGTGAAGGGCACTCCAAAGTGTTCAGAGGAAATGACTCCTGTCTTAGTTGTGGCGAAGGATAGTAAATGTCTGGATAAGACTGATGATAAATTTTTGCATTTCCCTTGAATTTCCTCACGCAGTGTTACTGATCCAGACTTCCCTGCTCTCTGAGTAAGCGTGATTTACACATGTGCATTAGCCCAAGATGCAGACCAAGTCTGAAACGTAGACTGAGAGTGCTCTTTTGCTGGGGAAGCACAGTGACAGTGGATGGTTACAGAGCATCTTCCATGAAGCCCGAGACCTCTGCATGAGTGGCCAGAAAGGTCATAGTGAACCAGTAATTTTGTACTGCTTTCATTTCCTTAAGGAAGTTTCCCTTGTTAAGCTCAGATAATGTATTATTTGCTTTACAGGAACAATGTTTAAATTCTCTTGTACTAAGTTCTATAAAAATATGAGAAATGTGCTATTTACCACAAACATTTCTATTTTTTTAATACAAAGTAATTCATTTTGATGAACTGCCAACTGATGTTCTGATGGCCATACGCACCCTCTGTGGGAATTACAACTTTTGTATTATTTTCTTCTGTAGCTAATTGAAAAGCAGTGGCCCGTGTCTAGTTATGTTGCTATACCAGAAGGCCTCAAAATACCTCAAAAACTCTGGGTGATAAAAGCAAATCACCTTTTTTAACCTGCCTTATATTTTAAAGTGTCATTGGATTTTTATATAGGAAAAAAAAAAAGAAAAATTGCAAAATTTTAAACTATTCAGTTAGAAATTATTCAAACGCTCTTTTGTCAACCAAATTTTCACATAATTCGCTTGTCCAGATCATTTTAGAATCTTATTGAACTGGCCTACTTTGAAATAGTATCCAGCATAGCCATGAATCTTGGCTGAGGAAGACCTTGTGCAAACAGCACAGAATAAACAAAGACGACTAAAATAGATCTGCGTTCTTTGCAAATGGCTGCAGAGTTTTCAAGATGTCAGCACAGCTAAACCTAACTTAAATAGCCCCTCAAGCAGCCAATAAAATTGACATACCCTGCTCTCGTGGCCTTCTCCTGGAAGCCTGGAGAACTATACTCACTACCTTTGGGATAATTTAATGTGACCTTCTAAAAGGGAATTTTGCCCTCAGGACTTCTTATACATGTTTGATGGTGTTCAGCTTCTTCCTTTTTTTTTTTTTAATTTTTATTTTGAATTGCAGTTGCTGCTGCTTCTATTCTATAACTCTTCTTAGCCAACAATCGAGCGAGCAGGAAGATGCACTCACCCTTTTTCTTCTGGGCCTATGTCTTCAGTTCCCAGTTCCTTGGAGTCCAGTGTGGTTGGTTTCAGAGAGGATGGTTGAACCCCCAAAACTGCAGCGCAGAAATCACCTGCTGATAATGGTCTTTAAGCTTGGAACTAGTTCTATATGAAG